GTTCTCTCCCTGTCGTTTTCCGCCTCTGTTGCTATTGCAAGGAACCCTGTGTCGGTTCGCTTCACGTCCTTCTCGAATCGTGCGAGTGTCTCCACTGGGAAATCTCCAGTATCGTCCCAGTTGGGTAGCTGTACTCTCCGTCCATTGTTGTAGATGGTTGCGGTCCGGTTCACCCAGTTGATCTCGGGGTTGAATCTTTTTAGGAAGTCTCGCCTGAAGATCAAGTAAAGCCCTTTGATGTTGGTGATGGGGAGTGCAGGTCTCCACATGCCTTCGACTTTCCTCTAAAAATACAAACGTGGCATTTTTCAACTGAGGGCGTGTCTCAACGCCGACACAAGTCACGCTAATTCATGTCAAGACTGCGTTGACGGGCAAATTTGACAAGCGAAATCCCTAACGACACGAAAAAGGCCTGACATCAGGCCTGTCGTTATCAGGGTATTTTACCCTGATTCCCTGATTTCACAGGGTATTTTTTTGGCCAACCCTTAATTTTCAGGGTTGGGTTTTTTTGAACCCTAACCTCTTCAGGGTTGTATGTCTGTGAACACTTAAAATTTCAGGGTTTGTGTTATACCAACACTGAGTTTTCAGGGAGTAACGCGTACGAACCCTGAATGCGACATCCATGCGGACCCTGAATTTCCTCGAAATGGCCCCCTTACGCGTGACGGGGCCCAGTCCATTGAACACGCCCAGCATGCGTCACGTGGGGAATCTGCACTCGGCAAGATTCCCGCCGTATACACGCTGTATGCTGCCATTACAGCAACATTTGCAACCGTCAACTGGCATTCGTGACTCAGCACGCAGCAGACGAGGACAGAATATGATGAGCGCGGCAATGTCAGCCTCTGTATGACATCACCCCGCCAATCATCTCTGTGCAGACGATGCCAGCGCAGGTGCGTTTCGCCGTTGACGGTATCGCCATGGCGATACGGGAACCTGGATGGGTTATGCACCATCCATGAAAATCGAGAGATGGGGCTTCTTGGTCCTCTTCCCGTCTTCTTCACCAGCTCCTCCTCCAACCCGGTTTTTTTCATTTCTTCACGTCACAGCTGCGAGATGCTCCAGTCTTCAATCTCCTCTAGTTTCGTCGCGCCGATTTCTCATTTTCAGCATATCCGCCGCTTCTAGCCATGGCGGATGTAGGAGACTCTGGTGAGTCTCCCACTGCCGACGATAGTTCTGAACTAGGTAGGGACCGCCCCGTGGAGGTCCGTAGATCCGCGCTAGACATCTTGCGGTCTCCCACCGCAGTCCTTACACCATCACAACCCGTATCTACTCCCGCCGCTCCCTATGTACCTCCGCCCGCTGTCGCTTCATCTAGCCGGGGCCCTTTGGTTCCAGACTGCGAGACAGCCACGACCGTGCATTACACGGTCGAGTGTGCGTCGACGATTTCATCTGGGAAGAAAGCACGCGTCGGGAAGTACACCCAGAGCACGATAGTCCTCGGCGGGAAGCTACATAGACCGTCGCCGCCTCGCTCGTCGCCTGAACCTCAGGCCCCTGGTATTCCAGAACCCGAGCCGCCGAAGCTCTCAAAGAAGGAACTCATCGAGCAGAAGTATCTCATGGCTGAGCACAAGTATAAGACCAGCTGGCTTCCTTTTTTCCCTTGGCTTCTGCTAACGAAAACGAAAGATGGTTACCCTGCTTTGAAGTGCAGTGTGTGCAAGGCTTTCGGCAAAGAGACAACACCGTACTCCAACAGCCGCGACGGGGCACGTGACCTGCAGACGCAAGCGATGCGGTTCCACGAACACACGACAGCCCACGAAGTAGCCGTCAAGCGTCAGATGGAGATCGCCGAAGAGATCGCCAGCACCCAGAGGCGCATGGAGAATTACGCGCGGATTGACATCGAAGGGAAGCGCGTCATGAGGCTCCTACGCTGCGTCGACTTCCTGTGCAAGTGTGATGCACCCATCAGCATGTACCCGAGGCTACTCCGCTTCATGGCCGAGCAGGAGACACCGGACATTCCGCTGCAGTCTTACGGAGTCTACCTGACAAGGTAATGCACTTATTCGAAGTACACCATGTCCTTTTTTTTTCAAAAAGGTCTAACCAACACCTTGTTGTCACTTCTGCTACTACATGTATGGCTTCTGTCAGCTCGTCAGCAGCCTGGCAACCTACCTGCAGCGCCGACAAATGCAATACATTCTCGCCTCACCCTACCTCGGCATCAGCTGCGACGAGAGCACTGACCGTACTCGCGGTAAACATCTGATTGTTTATCTGACCTTCTTGCGGGCGCATCGTGTTGTGACTGAGTTTTTTGCACTCTTGACCGTCGAAAAGTGCGACGCCGCGTCACTCCTCGCCGTTCTTCTGGCTCACTTGCGAGCAACTGGCATCGATCTCTCCCGAATCACCGGCATGAGCACCGACGGCGCCTCTGTCATGGTCGGCCGAGACAACGGTCTCGTCGCCCGACTTCGCGAGCACATCCCCCATCTCGTCTCTTCGCACTGCATCGCCCACAGGTTTAACCGCTTGTCATTTCAGTCGCTTAGGTGTCCTACAAGTGCTTGACTAAAATTCCCTTGTGTGCACCATGCAGGGAAGCCTTGGCGGTGAAGGACGCGGCCACATGTTCTCCAGACTTCGACATGGTCGACCTTGTGATTCGGACTCTGGCCGATCTTCTGGGACGTTCATGTGTCTGGAGTCAACGCTTCAAGTACCTGCAGCGGGCAATACATAACACCAACCTTGAAGTGCAAGGAATTCACACCGTGCGCTGGCTTTCAAGGGGTGAGGCTGTGAGGCGCCTTTGTAAGGTCCTCGGCGCCGCTATCATTCTCTTCTATGAGTACGGGCATGAGCTGTATGAGGTCGTTATCTGTTACAAGTTCCAGTTTTGTCTTTTTTTCCTGGCGGACGTCCTCGGAGTGATGAATGAGCTCAACCTCAAATTCCAGAAGAGGGAGGTGAGCTTCTATCACCCTGCATGTAATTTTTGTCCCATGCATGCACGTTTGGAATCACCCTCTGACTCCACTCCGTCGTCTGTCACATCCACCAGGTCGATGTCACCGAAGTGACGAAGGACATCGACGAGGCGACAGGGGACCTCCGCCACCGCTACTTGGAGTGCGGAGAGGTGTTCGGCGGGGGTGTCGAAGGCACGTGGCTTTCGGCTTTCTTGGCGGTCTACGGGCGCGGAGGGGGCAAACGCGTAAAGGTGCGGGGCATCGACAAGGACGGCAACCCAGTCACGCACACCTACACCATGCACGAAAAGCAGATCGACGGGCATGCCTTCCGCAGCAAGTACCCCGATTGCGAGCGGCTCTGCGCGCAATTCGCGAAGGACACGATAAGCTTCCTGAAGACGAGGATGCTGGACCTGAACAATCTCGGCCCGACGAAGCTCTTCCGCGTGTCGAAGTGGCCCCGGATGAAGCAGCAGAGAGAGAAGAAGCTGAAGGAGTACCTACATGGCTGCAGTGCCTTGTTCGACAACAGGCTGACAGGCTTTTCCTTGCAAGCTGCGCAGAAGGAGCTGGTCACGTGGGCGCCACTGATGCTGAGCCACCATGCCGACGAAGGATTCCATCAAGGCCTGACGAACTACCTCGGCTCGACGGAGTCGACCTTGTGAGAGAGTGCTGCTCGAAGGACGATTATTGATTTTCCTTTTGGGCGGTTTCATTGTTTCCTTTATCAGTTGTTGTTTATCGATTGTTGACAAGCATTGCTAATGCACTGGTCTTGTTCCATGTACTCTATTCCCCCAACCCTTCTGGCAGGCGCTGGCCCAACCTCATGCGCTTGTGGCAGGCATGCGCTGTCCTGCCGCTTAGCACAGTGGAGTGTGAACGAGGCTTCTCGCGGCAGAACGTCATCAAGTCATGGGTGCGGGGCGCGTTGTGCAATGCGCGCCTCAGCGAGCTGATGGTCATTTCCCTGCTGCAGTACGAGACTGACTGGGACGAGGCCATTGGGTGCTGGCGCGAGAAGCTGAGGCGCCCTGCTAAGTCTGTTCTGTTTGCCGCAGCGGAGAGGAAGCGTAAGGCGAAGGCGATTGAGGGGGCAGAAGTGAGGGTGGAGGAGGAGGCAGTCCCCGACTACATGGGGGATTGGGCAGAGGATGAGGGAGAGGAGGAGGGGGGAGTGGGGGCAGTGGGGGGAGAGGCTCCTGAAGAGGAAGACAACCCCTTTCTGTCCGATGACGACGCAGAAGACGAAGTGAACATGGATGGCCCAGAATTTTAGTCAAGTTTAGCTAGTGGCATGGAATATTGTGAAGTCTAGACTAGATAGAGGACTTGTAGAGTAGACTGGCGTGGCGTAGTGGTGCTTTTACTTAACTAGTAGCTGTACATTCCTAGTTGATTTTTTCCCAAGTACAATGCAACCCTGATTGTTGCAAGCCAACCCTGGAGGTTTCAGGGTTGTAAATTCCAGAACACTGAGAAATCAGGGAAGTCAAAATACCAACACTAGGCCCTCAGGGTAAAAAAATTTCCCCATTCGACAGCTCAGGGTGGTTTTTTTTGAAACGTCAGCCCTGCCTGACATCGGTTCACAAAGCAGTAGGCCCTGAACAATCAGACTGCCGGAAAAATTCCCGGCCTGATTTGCTGCGTGCGTAGATTTTCGCCAAATTTTGACCAATAGTGGCTAAGCTAGCGCAAAACATGTAATGCCAACATCCTATTAGTATCCTGCTGCTGTGCAATGTAACTTAGTACAACGTTTCCAACGTTTTTTAATTTACCCAGAGGGCACAGTATAAACTGGGGAACCACCCTGAGGATTCAGTATGAATATAGCCAACAAACCCTGAGTGCTACACGGTTTTTTGGAGGCCAGCCCTGATTGGTCAGGATGCCGAAAATCCTATATGAGGCCCTGCTAGGGGGTGTGTGAAACATATATTGTATGTTCCTGTAGATTATATAGGGTTGTGCCTTAGGGAGGACAATCCATTAGGTTATATTCCCTTGTATGCCTTGTTCTAGACATTCTTTTTCACTTGAACAATAGGTACCTTGCATATGCTACCATGTCCCTAAGGGCTCATTTTGAGGATAAGATCAGTGACAATTTCAGGAACGTACAGCAGTTTAGCATTAGTGCATAGCTGCAGCTAGCATCAAGACACATGACGAGCATGAGGCGTGTGGTTCTTTAAAAGCACATGGTCCTAACATACCAACCAGCCGCACGTGTGTTTCGTTTAGGCCTCAAATGAACATGTCCAGCTCTGCCCGAGCATAGGTGTTATTGGGCTCATCGGGCAGGCGTGGGTATGCTGCAACCAGAGCATCTTGAGCCCCAATGTACAGGTTGTTGTAGATGCGCCAATACACCTCTCGCACCTTCCGGGCCGGATGGTACAAACCCTGCATGGGGGCGGAGCACCAAGGAGTGAAGAAACTGAAGAGTCTGGAGAGTGTGCAAAATAGAAGGCTGTGGAGCAAGAGAGTGTGTGGCTGAGATGAGGAGCACCTGAGATTGCCGATACTAGACCCCTGGCTGCACGGTCGACAACAGAAACAGGCTAACGTATCTCGTTTCCCGTGCTAGCAACCAACACAAGACACGACATACGTGCATGCCACAAAATCAAGCCACACATACCTGCAGCACATATCCGAGCACGAGTGCGGGGCCAAGAGCCACTCTCATGCCATCTATGGTCCCCATGACTGCTTGAATCAGGTGCGGCGACGTCTCAAAGATGTTGGGCCACACCAGATTGAGCAGGTGAATCTGAATGGGGAGAGACAGGGAGAACAAGAAGGGTACACTTGAGGAAAACAAGGGACCGGCAAACCCACTTGTGACGGGTGCACAATAGGATAGAGCACAAGCAGAGTGCAGTGGGGAGAGTCAGTACTTGGACATCAATCACGAAAGCCCAGTTCAGTGCGCAGCAAGAAAGCCATGGAGACGCAAAAACTTAGCAACGAGCAGAGCGCAATGGCGGGAGGTGAGTGGCTCACCAGCGCGTCCTCGCATCCCAGCCCTGCCACTCCCAGCGTCATGTGCATCACCGCCGACGCTGCCGTCTGACATGGACCAGCGCAGGGGAGGAAGGGGGCAGGGCGGAGGGGGGAATGAGCATTGAAGAGTTTAGGTTGGCAGATCAAGGAAAGGTGTGTTGGCAAAAAGAGCTTGAGCAAAGACGGCATTGGAAGACACAATGCACGCACGCACAGACTCGCAACACTCACCTGTCTGTGCACCAGGTCTCAGTCAAGGTTCAAAAATACAGTTTTCGAAAAATACAGTCCGTATTTTTTACCGTTACTTTTCCCGGGATTTTGGGAAAAAAACGTTGTCTTAAAAATAGAGAATCTTGTCTTTTCTTTCTTTCTTTCTTTCTTTCTTTCTTTTTCAGGTAGACAGCCTAATCGTCCGCCAGATCCGCGCTTTTCGTCCGCCCAAATGCGAGATCCGCGCATAACAACTCCTCCCACCCCATCTCCTAAATGAGGTCTCCCCCACTCCTACCCTTAACCCACCCTGACCAGCCCCCCCATGCCACCCTCTTCCAGGAAAAAACCCCTGTTCTCTTTGCACACACCCACCTGTCTGTGCACGAGGTCTCGATCCATGAGCGCGTCCTCCAGCAGCGGAGTGACGGCGTAGATGTAGTCGCGGCCCATCTCCCCGATGTACTCAAACAGGAACGACAGCGACTTGAGCACTCCGTTCTGCACGTTCAGCTCCGGCACACGGTACCTGGCAGGTGAAAGGCACAATGGGAATGAGAGAAGGAGGGCTGGTTTCATGCGCCCCATCTCGTAGATCCAAGCAGGCAGCACTGTAAAAGGAGAGCAGGTGCCAGCCATGGGTGAGCACCTTGAGGCTGCTCAGCAGTGCGAGCACCCAACGGTACAACGCACCCTCACTCGTTCATGAGGGCAGGCAGCACGGTGAATACTCACTCGTTCATGAGGGCTGGCAGCACGGTGAAGGGCGAGCACGTCTCGGCCACGATGGCGATGGCGACGGTGGTGCATACGCGGTTCTGCCGCTCCTGCACCTTGAGGTTGTTCAGCAGCGTTGCCAGCACGTCCTGCGGGCCGATGGCCTTGGCAATGTACCCGAACGTGTTCACTGTCGCTCGCCTGATTCCCTTCTTGTGCGCCTGCAGCACGGGCGCGGGGAAGGGATGGGGGGGGGAGGGCAAGAGGTCCGTGGAGAGGGGTGAGGGGTGAGGGGTGAGGGGTGAGGGGTGAGGGGTGAGGGGTGAGGGGAGAGGGGCGCCGGCAGCACATCCTGTGGGCTGATGGCCTGGTCATGTACCCCAATGAATGACCTCACCGTGGCACCCCGAGTGCCCTTCTTGTGCGCCTGAAAGGGAAGAAGAGGGGTGGTGGAGGGAGCATAGGGGAGTGAGACGGCCCAGGGCCTTGGCGAGGTACCACAACGTTTCCACAGAGGCACGGCATGGCAGATGCCTTTCTTGAGAGCCAAAGGCAGCTGGGAGGAATGGAGGGGTAAGAGCGGCTGTATACAGCAGCGTTGCCAGCACGCCGTGGAACCCTATGGCCTTGGCAAGGTGTTCACAGTCGCACGGCGAATGCCCTTCTTGTACACCCGAGGGTATTGGGTTGGTGACACAAGGGATGGAGTGAGAGGGTATTGGCAGCGTCCTCTGTGGCCCTAAGGCCCTGGCCATGCACCCCACAGACGGACATCACGGGAGCACGGCTGATGCCCTTCTGGTGGCAGGACTGACGGGAGAGCACACATGGAGCAGCCGCCACATCGCCCTGCCACAGTCATTCCCTCCTCTTGTGCGCCTGAAGTGGGGAGCGCAGATGTGCGTGCGGAGGGAACACAGACGCCTGGGTGCACGCCAACCACGCATCCACGATATTGAATCCAACCCCAAAAAACGGGGGAAGAAATAAATCCAGGGGAGCAAAGCCCTCCTCTGCGCCTCATCTCGCACGGCTGTGGGCTGTGTCCGCCTCGCCTGCTGTCAGCAAACGCAGCGACTCCCCGCCTCACCCCCTCCCTCTTGCCACACTCACCCCCTTAACCCCCTCTCTCCCCCTCACCCCCGCTCTCCTCCTCTCACCCACAATCACCTCGAAGCATATCCTCATCCACTCCCTTGCCACTCTCTCGCCCTCTACCCCCCTGTTCCCCCTGTTCGCTTCCCCCTGTTCCCCCCTGTTCGCTTCCACCTGTTCCCCCTGTTCGCTTCCCCCTGTTCCCCCTGTTCGCTTCCCCCTGTTCCCCCCTGTTCGCTTCCCCCTGTTCCCCCTGTTCGCTTCCCCCTGTTCCCCCCTGTTCGCTTCCCCCTGTTCCCCCCTGTTCGCTTCCCCCTGTTCCCCCTGTTTGCTTCCCCCTGTTCCCCCCTGTTCGCTTCCCCCTGTTCCCCCCTGTTTGCTTCCCCCTGTTCCCCCCTGTTCGCTTCCCCCTGTTCTCCCCTGTACTTTCCTGTTCGAGCCTGCTCTCTCCTCGCCTCATTACTGTTTTCCCCACTCCCCCCCCCCCCAGCGCACCTTGAGCATGTCGAGCAGCTCGAAGCAGATGCGCATCCACTCCCTCGCCGGCACAAACTCCGCGCCTCTGTCCGCAATGCGCCCCACCAGGTCGATGCAGTTCTCCTGCACCTGCGGGTCTCACGCGGGGTTGAGGGTGCATGGAGTTGGAATGGAAGTAAAGTTCAAGCAGTGTGCATGCAACAGCAGTGTGCATGCAACAGCAGTGTGCATGCAACAGCAGTGTGCGTGCAACAGCAGTGTGCGTGCAACAGCAGTGTGCGTGCAACAGCAGTGTGCGTGCAACAGCAGTGTGCGTGCAACAGCAGTGTGCGTGCAACAGCAGTGTGCGTGCAACAGCAGTGTGCATGCAACAGCAGTGTGCATGCAACAGCAGTGTGCATGCAACAGCAGTGTGCATGCAACAGCAGTGTGCATGCAACAGCAGTGTGCATGCAACAGCAGTGTGCATGCAACAGCAGTGTGCATGCAACAGCAGTGTGCGTGCAACAGCAGTGTGCGTGCAACAGCAGTGTGCGTGCAACAGCAGTGTGCGTGCAACAGCAGTGTGCAAGCAACGTGCCCCACCAGGTGAAGGTGCGTTGGCAGGGCACGCAGTGCAGACGGGGCGGAACAAGGATGGAAGAAGAAGAAAATCCATGATGTGCCGACCATACGTGGCGGCCATCGGAGGGGCTGACCTTCTCGTGCCTGTTCTTGAGGATGGGCGTGAGGCGCGGCAGCAGGTCCTTGATGGGGGGCGTCATCTTGGTCATGCCAATCACGTTCACTATGGCCTTCAGCGCCCCCAGGATGGACCCCAGCACCTCGGGGTACTCTGCAGGGATAGTGACACACGGAGAGAGCAGCAAAGAGCGGAATACACTCGGTGCTCCCACCACAACCGCTCTCATCAGCATAGTAACAAGCACATTCACCGTGCCAACAGCAGCAGCAGCAGCAGCAGCAGCAGCAGCAGCAAGGGCTCCAGCGCAGCGCCAACACCATAAATTGTGTGCCGAGATCATGAGACGAAAGAACCAGAACGCCACGGTGTTAACAACGCGCATCAACAGGTGAGAGATGCCACAACCACGATAGAATGCCATCACAAACCATACCACACCATACCACACCATATCACATTGTCAAGCATCGCACCAGAACACAACACACTTTTTTTGCCACAAATGCAAAGGATTATGCCCACATTGCACAGCACCGCATTGCACCAGCTCGTACCTTCTCCCAGGTACTCGTAGAGCACGACGCCCAGGTGCCCCATGAGCTGCTCCTCGCCGCACGCCTTCATGACCACAGCGATGCGCGCTATCAGGTCCGCCGCCTGCTGCCGCACCTTGGCGCTCTTGTTGTTCAGCCGCCACTTCACCGTCCCACAGATCTGACAAATGAGCGCACGCGCGCGCGCGGAGCGTAACGAGGAAACGAACGAAAAACAGGAAGGGTGAACGGAAGAGAAGGTGGTGAGGGAAGGGAGTGAGAAAAGGAGAATGTCGCCTCGTTTATGGAGCAAGCACACGTTGTGGCGCTGCAGCGGGTCACACACGCCAATGTGCAGCAGGAGACTAACATAGCGAATGAAAAAAAAGGCTCACAGAGCGTGCTCACCTGGGTGGTACTCACCTGGAGAAGGTACTCCGGTGAGGTGGTACTCACCTGGGGAAGGTACTCCGGTGAGGGTGGTACTCACCTGGGGAAGGTACTCAGGTGAGGGTGGTAATCACCTGGGGAAGGTACTCAGGTGAGGGTGGTAATCACCTGGGGAAGGTACTCAGGTGAGGGTGGTAATCACCTGGGGAAGGTACTCAGGTGAGGGTGGTACTCACCTGGGGAAGGTACTCCGGTGAGGGTGGTACTCACCAGTGTTGACAAAAACGATTTTGTGAGTTTGCGTTTAAACGCAATCGTTTAAACGCAATACGTAAAAACGCATCAAAACGCTCGAACGCACCTTGGAATCTTTTGGGCTGCCCGGAACAAAAAAACGCAAAAAAAACCCACAAAGTCGCGAATTGAAAACACATTTCGCCACGCGTCGCGAAACGCGAACACGTTTTGCGCGTCGCAAATTCGTCGTCGTGCAGTCGCGGAACTTTTCATAGCGACACGATAAGTCATCAATCCCTCCCTTCGTTTTCCCAACGTGTTGAAAATCCCAACCCATTCCCCCCCCGCTTGATCCAGATCTATCTGTAGAAGAGAAATTCGCTCACCTTACATGCATTGACGATCTAGTACTCTTACGTTCTTCCTTCCAGCACCTAAGCTACCTGACTTCGAGCCCCTAGCATGGGGTCCCCTGCCTGGGCCAAATTTCCCGCCTGCCCGGGCAGGCGTTTTTCGAGCGTATTTGAATCCTGGAATCCTGCGTTTTGCGTCCTGAACGCAAGCGTTCAGAACGAAACGCAAAAACGCGGAAACGCGTTTATGCCAACATAGGTACTCACCTGGGGAAGGTAGGGCCGAACTCTCTGCCCGAGGGCATTGACAACAGTGCCGAAACCATTGAGCATGACGTTGGCATCATCACTGGTCTGCGATGAATTATGGAACCATGGTCACGCATGCACGTGCACACAGCAACACATGAGCATATGCCACCATGTACACGTGCGGAATGAGGGAGCGCGCAAGAAGGGAGCAAGAAAGGGAGCAAGAACGGGAGAAAGGGAGAAAATGAGAACTCAATCGTGGAACAAAGTCACGAAGCATGATTCATAATGGCCATTGCATTGGAAGCAGCACAACGCCTCACTCGACTCACACTCACACTAAAAATCACCCACCCACATCACCATTACCCCACCCACCCACGTGCCATGGTTCACTTGCGACGCGCACCTGCTCCTGGAAGGCGTAGAGGATGCCGTCAATGAGCAGCTCCTCCAGCCGCGAGTCGATGTCCGCGGCGCCCAGGTTGGTGAGCACCTTCTCGACGGTCTCCATGACCATGCGGCGGTACGGCTCGCTCTCGTCCTTCAGGTCCTCCACCACGCGCCCGATGATGTCGCTCACTCCCGCCTGGGGGGCCATAGCGCGTCCCACACGCCACACAAACACATGGATCACCACCTTGCTGCCTTGTAGCCTGCGCAGATGACTTTTGAGTCGACTCAAAAGAAACACGTGGATCACCACCTTGCTGCCTTGTAGCCTGCGCAGATGACTTTTGAGTCGACTCAAAAGAAACACGTGGATCACCACCTTGCTGCCTTGTAGCCCGCGCAGATGACCTTTGAGTCGACTCAAAAGAAACACGTGGATCACCACCTTGCTGCCTTGTAGCCCGCGCAGATGACTTTTGAGTCGACTCAAAAGAAACACGTGGATCACCACCACCTTGCTGCCTTGTAGCCCGCGCAGATGACTTTTTGAGTCGACTCAAAAGAAACACGTGGATCACCACCTTGCTGCCTTGTAGCCCGCGCAGATGACTTTTGAGTCGACTCAAAAGAAACATGTGGATCACTACCTTGCTGCCTTGTAGCCCGCGCAGATGACTTTTGAGTTGACTCAAAAGAAACACGTGGATCACCACCTTGCTGCCTTGCTACCCGCGCACCGCACCATCCGGACTCGTCATGAGCATACACCTAACCTTCCCTTTCACTACACCCTGCTGCCCATCCGCTTACCTTATTCGCAATCTCCACCGTGGTCTCCACAAGCTGCTTGTAGTTGCGGCGGTCGAGCGCCATGCGGCGCACCCAGAAGTGCTTGAAGTACTCGGGAAGGATCTCGGCGCGGATGTAGTCCGGCTCCACGCCGTCCGTGGCCACGCACTGCTTGACCACCTTGAGCACGATCTTCTTCATCTCCTCGTCGGGCGACTGGAACTCGCGGATCAGCACCACCATCACCTGGGAGCAGGCGAGGGGAGCGGGGGGGAGGGGGAGAGAAGAGTGCGGTCAGAGGGGAGCATGGGAAAGGAGAGGACGAAGACAAGAGAGAGCACACAGGCGGCAGGCAGGTCACAGCAGCTTAGCCGCCAAAGTCACTGCCTCATGCAAGCTCCTCCAGTTAGACATGTTCATAATACGATTGCGATTTAAATCGCATCGCACAGGGGCGCGATTAAAAAAAAAAAAAAGCGATGGGATTTATTATCGCATTGCGCGATTGATTTGTTTTTTAAATAATAGATCGCACATCGCATTTTCTGCGCGATGGTTATTTAAACCGCGTGCGATGTTTACTTAAATCGCGCGATGCGATTTTAAATCGCATCGCATTTTACTTAAATTAAAAAAAAACACCTCAGAATTCCGGAAAAAAACAACACCGATGGAATTTCGACCACGGGCAGATCGCGCGCGATTTAAAACAAAAAAAATCGCAAATCTCAATTTAATCGCGATTTTCAGCGCGATAAAAACGCGATTTAAAATAAATCGCACGATAATTAAATCATCGCATCGCGCGATTTATAAAAAAAAAAAAAAAAAAAAAAAATCGCCATCGCAAAAACGCGATTAAACGCAATGCGATGCAATTTAATCTGCCCATGTCTACCTCTAGTGTGTGTTGATGTGACCCTTTGCCCACCTATCCCTTCCCCATGCGTCACTTCCCTGTGTCCCCTTGCCCCTGCGTCCCCTTGGCCCTGTGTGCCCTTGCCCCTGTGTGACCTTGCCCCTGTGTCCCCTCGCCCCTGTGTCCCCTCGCCCCTGTGTGCCCTTGCCCCTGTGTGCCCTCGCCCCTGTGTGCCCTTGCCCCTGTGTCCCCTCGCCCCTGTGTGTCCTTGCCCCTGTGTCAACTCGTCCCCGTGTCCCCTTGTCCCCGTGTCTCCTTGTCCCCGTGTCTCCTTGTCCCCATGTGTCTCCTTGTCCCCGTGGGTCCCCATGTCCTCTTATCCTTGTGTCCCCTGGCCCCTGTGTCCCATCGTCCCTGCGTCCCCGTGTCCCCGTGTCCCCATTGTCCCCGTGTCCCCATTGTCCCCGTGTCCCCACACCTCAATTTCACCTCGCGAGTGCAGTAGCTCGCATACAAGGCGTCCGCCAGCGGAATGATGAGCACAAGCACCCCCCACGAGTGCCCTACGTTACCCGGTGTCCCCTTGCCCCTGCATCCCCCACGCCTCACCTCGCGTGTGTAGTAGCTCGCATACATGGCGTCCATCAGCGGAATGATGAACCCAATGGCTTTAAGAAATGCTGCCAGAACCTTCCCGCGGTGCGCTCGGATGCCCTTCCACAGCGGCTTGAGCACGGAGTCAAAGCTCTCGATGCCGTACGGCGCTGACGCCTCCGCCAGCGCTGCGAGGGAAAGAGCCGTGATGGTGCGCACCTGGGGTCATTAGGGCAGGGGAGAAGGCAGGGGAAGGAACAGAAGCGAGTTGGGATTGATCACGGAGTGGAGGCTCTCTATGCCATGTGGGGCTGAGGCCTCTGCCAGCACAGCGAGGGAGAGTGCTGTGGTGGAGCATACCTGGGGTGACGGAGTCCCAAGGGAAGAAGCATGAACCACAGGCAAAGCTCATCAATCCACAACCGCTGGTAAGGACATTAGGGATTCTGGGCAAATCAGAAATGTGCTCAGAATCCCCGTACCTTGTGATTTTGTTGTCATCCCCAAGCCCATGCTGGATGATGACATCCAGCAGCCCTCAAATGCGGCAGCACGGCACAGCGCATGAGAATAGTGGCGTGCTGCACCATCTTCATGCCCCTCTGCCTGTCACCCCCTTCCCACGCACCCTCGCCCTGCCTCACCCTACTCTGACCATCTGCTTCCATCCCCAAGCCTATGCTGGTTGACGTCAACGAAGGACTGCAGCTGCGGCAGCACCACACATCCCATGAGGATAGCGATCCGCTGCACGATCTTGATGCCTGTGTGCCTGTTACCCCCAAACCACTTGACTTCTGCTCACCTCACCCTTCCCTCGCTTGTGATAATCATCCCCAAGACCGTGCTCGATAATATCAATGAGGGTCCGCATGGGTGGGATCACGGCGCACCCCATGAGGATGGCGATGTGCTGCACGATCTTGATGCCCGTGCCCATAGCACCTTCACCACCTACCTCTTACTGAACCTTCCCTCACCTTCTGGTAGTCATCCCCCAGCCCGTGTTTGATGACGTCAACAACGGAATGTAGACGAGGCAGCACGGCCATGAGGATGGCGATGTGCTGCACGATCTTGATGCCAGCGTGCGTTGTGGCGTACTTCCCTCACTCGCTGGTCATTGATCTCTCACCTTCTGATTGTCATCCCCCAGCCCGTGCTCAATGATGTCCACCAGCGACCGCAGGTGCGGCAGCACGGCGCACCCCATGAGGATGGCGATCTGCTGCACGATCTTGATGCCCGTGTGCCTGGCCTGCCACGACTTCTTGCTGGCGCACACGGCGCGCAGGAACGGCAGCAGCGCCGGGATGCCCAGCGCCGACGCCACCACGGAGAAGGCGCGCGCCGTGGTGTTGCGCACGTACTCGTCCACGTTGTCAATGTCAGGCCGCATGGCCGCAATCATTGTCGCCAGTCCTGCTGCCTGAGGGTTTGAGAGAGGAGTAAGAGAGACAGTGGGGGGAGAGGGCACTAGCATGCCGTGGTGTTGCACACGTACTCGTCCACGTTGTCGATGTCGGGTCGCATGGCAGCAATCTGTGTTTGAAGACTCGGTGCCTGCGCGTGGAGAGAGCAGGAAGAGCGGGCAAGAGATGGAGCGGGCAAGAGATGGAGAGCAGTAGCGGGCAAGAGATGGAAAGAGCAGTAGCGGGCAAGAGATGGAGCGGGCAAGAGATGGAGCGGGCAAGAGATGGAAAGAGCAGTAGCGGAAGCAGGGAGCATGAAAGAAGCGCTGGGATGCCCACGGCTGATGCCACCATGGAGAGGGGAGAAGGGGGTGTGAGAAGAGGATGCAGTGGGAGAACACAGCAGGTAGACTTGAGCATTTTACCCGGTCGGGTCGCGGGTACCCGACCCGACCCGACATTTTGGCCGGGTCGGGTAATGGGAATTTGACGAATTACCCGGCCGGGTCGGGTCGGGTACTCGCGCCGGGTAATGCATACCCGCTACCCGAAAATTACCCGAAATGTCGGGTAATTTATTACCCGACGGGTTGCGGGTTCCCTACCCGACCTCGGGTTTTTTACCCGAAGTCGGGTAGCGGGTACCTAGGGTTGAGCATACTACCCGCCCGGGTCGGGTACCCGGTACCCGGATCCGCTTTTAGGGCGGGTCGGGTATCGGAAATCCCGAATATTACCCGGCGGGTCGGGTCCGGGTTACCCGGGCGGGTATTCAATACCCGGTACCCGAAATGCTACCCGACGCGTCAGGTAGCGGGTACCCGACCCGAAATCGGGTAGCGGTCTACCCGATGGAACCAGCGAGACATTAGTCGCGCTGGTAGAGAAATTTCATCAAGTTTCTAGGTTACGTGAGCTGCTAGGTCACTTAGAGCATTGTAGATTGGCAGGGGTTGGGTTTTGTAGATACAGATGCATTCAGAGTGGTTGAATTGGGGGGAATTGGTTGGAAGTCAAACCAATCGAATTTCCCCAATCGAATTTGCAACCCAACCTGAATCCACCCAACCGCACAGCACCACATTGGTTGGAGTTCCAACCAATTGACTCTGGGGGTCAAAGAATCAAACCCCCAGAAACCGCACACAACCCCATCCCAACTAGAAAACCCAACCAACTCCCCTCTCAGTCCCCACTCACGACCCACTCACCACACCAGAACTGTTAAATATTTGGCGCATCTCATACTCCCTCCCGCAACTCACGTTTTTTGAAGCACTATCTAGGTCGTAGGCTTAGTAGCCCAACAGGGTAGAAAAACGCGGGTAATACTACCCGCTTTTCAAGGAAACCGGGTCGGGTATACCCGGACCCGCCAGGCGGGTATTAAATTACCCGCCCCCAAATCCCGGGTCCGGGTATTGGTCCTGGGCATGTTACCCGACCCGTACCCAACCCGAAAATACCCGACCCGAAGTCGGGTATAGCAAAACCGGGTCGGGTCGGGTAAATACCCGGTTTTGCTCATGCCTACGGGTACCCGACCCGGTTTCGGGTCGCGTAATTACCCGACGCCAACCAGCGCGTCAATTTTTGCGCTGGTTGGGAAATTTCGACCATAAGGTCGAAATTTCACGCGATTGTTTACCTTCCTAGTTGCGTTCGACCTAAGCCTACCCTAACATGCGCCTAGGAGCATTCCGCAGCGGTTGTACTACAAACCGCTGCTTGTTTTAACGAATCCTAGGGTAATGGAGTAGACAAGGGCTCACCTTGGCGTTTTTTCTTGCCTAGCCGTCCGTTTTAGGGTTTCGTCACCCCTGCCTGAAGCTAGAGTGTAGGACACAGTGGAATCGCGGGTCTGACATTCAGGGGATTGACGGACAGGAGGGTCATGGTGCTACTATACGACAGTTGGGACGGGGTTTCTATGGCCGATCAAGATTTGGCTGCCGAAGGCGGAGGCGCCATGGCTGAGGAGGGGGGAGCGCAGGCTAGCAATCGCATAACAGGCGCGTCCCTTGGAGCTGTCCCCGTACCCGCAGAGGGGCAGAGCTTTGCTCTGGGGAGTGGGGTTCGTGGGGTCGGAGAGGAGGCAAACGTGCAAGCGGGGGAGTCCAATGAGGGGGGAGATCTGCCAGGTGGGGGAGGAGGGCAGCGGGTTGGGCAGCGTCCCAGTGGTGGTGGTGATCAGGATTGGCAGCCAGATGCCGACGACGTGGTGGATCTCTCAGGAGCGGATGAATACCCTGCCATGCAGGTGGTGGTTCGCCCGAGAGGCGCAAACCCGGGTGGCCGACCCCGAGGGCGTCCTAGGGGCCGAGGATCAGCGGTTGAAGGGGGGGGTGGGGGAGCGGGGCGGCGTGCTGCGCGCGGCCGTCCCAGAGGGGCAGCAAGGGGACTTGGGCGGGCTGCAGAGGGAGGTGATGAGGTCGTTGCGGAGGATGCCCGAGATGGGGGTGTTGGGGCGACTCCCCGTCGGGCGGGCGCAACTGGGCGCGGGGGAGGGGCTGCAGGGACCGGTGCAGGGCGGGTGAAACGGAGGCGGGTGGGTGAGGATAGCGAACCTGTTCCAGGCTACTGGGGTACCATCCCTGGCTTGATGCAGGGGATGTTTTACGAGCCGGAAGTGGGAGACTCCTCGCGTGTGTGCAAGGTATGCGAGGAGGAGTTCTACTGGGACCGGAGCAGTACGTCGACTGGATGGAAGCATGTGCGGGCAAAGCACATGCCTCACCTCCAGGTATGGCATCGCGAGTTTACAGCCCCGGACAAGAAGCCCGACCTTGAGTTCCCCCCCGGCGGATACACGGGTGCTCCGGATGGGCCCGAGCCCTGGGAGCTTGTGGAGGCGTATCCTAACATCCCGGGGTTACGTGAGGGCACCGGGACACCCGCGACCGAGCGTGGGCAGCGCGTCATCGGCCAGTACTTCACGCGGCGGGTGTCCCAGGAGCGTCTCCGGCAGGCATTGGTCGAGCTGTTCGCCGATGCCTGCCTGCCCTTCCGCCTCGTCGACCGGCCCTCGGTGAGTCAACACACTAGGTGGTGCCTTTCAGCTGTAGTGCCTTGTCATATCGTCATCCGTCGTGTGCTGTGACCACATGCCTACGCCAGAGACTCAGGGTTCCTCATGGGCGTGTACCTGCCCTACCCCTAACCCCATCCCACCCCACCCCACAGTTCCGTCCATATACTGCACTCCTGAACCTGCCGGCCGCAGAGCTGCTCGGCTCTCGTTTCCGCCTGGCCCGTGACATGCTTCTGACTGGGGAGAGTGCGCGCGAGCAGCTGCACCAGGAGATCATGGGGGACGGGGCTGCGGGGAAGGTGTCACTGACCACAGACATTTGGTCCAGCCCTGCCCAGGATTCGTTCATGGCCGTCACAGCCCACTGGATCACATCGGACTTCCAGCTTCGAGTGGCGCTGCTGGAGTTTGAGGAGTTGCAGGGCTCCCAGACCGGCGTAATGATTGCAGATACCTTGGAGCGGATCATTGCAGACTGGGGCCTGAAGGACCACGTGCTTGGCATCACAACAGACAATGCCGAGAACAACGTGAAGGCCCTGAAGATCCTCACTGCCGATCCTCGCACCCCCCAAGCGCGGGCCGTCGCCGTCATCAACCCTCGATTCTTCTTCAGGTGCGTCGTTGTGGCATGGCATGCCATGCCACAGCACATGTCCAGCATGGCATGCCACATGTCCATCATGGCATGCCATGCCACATGTCCAGCATGGCACGCCATGCCACATGTCTAGCATGGCATGTCATCACATGTCCAGCATGGCATGCCATGCCACATGTCTAGCATGGAATGTCACATGTCCAGCATGGCATACCATGCCACATGTCTAGCATGGCACGCCATGCCACATGTCACATGTCCAGCATGGCATGCCATGCCACATGACTAGCATGGCATGCCACATGTCCATCATGGCATGCCATGCCACATGTCTAGCAGGCACGCCATGCCACATGTCCAGCATGGCACACCATGCCACATGCCATATGTCCATGATGGCATGGCATGGCATGCCACATGTCTAGCATGGCATGCCACATGTCCGGCATGGCATTCCACATGTCCGGCATGGCATGCCACATGTCCGGCATGGCATGCCATGCCACATGTCCACCATGGCATGCCATGCCACATGTCCAGCATGGCATGGCGCATGCACTTTATGGAGCACAGGTCGTGGGTCCTGGTTTAGACCTATCTTCCCACCCCAAACAACTCTCCTCCCCCCCAACCCACCTCAAGGTGTCTGGCACACATCCTAAACCTTGCAGTGCAGCGGGCTCTCGGGTTGCCAGCAGTGGCAGAGCCACTCCGCCGCATGAGGGAGCTCTCGTCTTACATTGGCTGGTCATCTACCAGGTCCCCCATGTTTGAGGCGGAGCAGGCGCTTGTGTTCCCACCCGGGACCCCGGTTCTCCGATTGGTCAATGACACCCCCACTCGCTGGGGGTCGTCTTACGAGATGGTTGCCCGCGCGCTGAAGCTGAAACCAGCACTGACACTCTTCTTCTCACGAGGTATTTGAATTTGTTACCATTTCCTAGCTACTCGTCTCGTTCCACAGTCCAAGCCAAGCTCGTTCCCTGTTCTATTATAGTCTACCCTCTGCATGGTGTTGCTGATTTCCCCACCTCCCGCCCCATTGTACCCCTCCTCGCCACCCTCCCGCCCGCACCCCATAGGATGGTGTCCCCAGGCGGGCACGGGTGCAGGCGGCCCGGTGCAAGCTAGGGGATGCGCACTGGGAGGCAGCTGAGGTTCTGGCCGAGTTCCTGAAACCATTCAATGACATCACCACGGCGGCAGAGGGGTCCTTGTACCCCACCGCCGCCGCGGTGGTGCCACAGTATAATCTCCTCATAGATACCCTCGAGGCCTCGTTCCACAACCCGGGAACCAAGGCGCTGCGCAAGGAGATGGACAGGGGGGGGCTGGTGGTCCTGAAGAAATATTTCTATGGGATTAGTGACGAGTTGGCTGTGGCG